GTTGTTTCTGCTAATCTGATCTTATACCGCTATTCTTTTGCCTCTCTGTAGACATTCTTTGTTTTTTGCTAATTTTAAAAAATACCTGAGCTTGAATACGATGAAGAAAACGAATAAATTCCCATTTAGACCGAACAAAAACGTAGCAATATAAAAGCAGCCAACAGCCGATTGCGCAAACATCCACATCATGGACCAGACATAATCAGTGCCTGCATAAAAAAGGCTGGAAATTTTATGAATATGTCATTAAAATTATATTTTTTACCGATTTTTACTATATTATCGAATTTACATCATGGTCACTAGCAAACGTAACCATTAGGCAACGTAGCTAGGCCAAAACAGTTGGAAAAGTTGCCAATTATTTAAGTTGCTAGCTGTACTTCCTTTTAGTCTTGACAGCAAACAGTCCTCCAGGCAAAACTTGTTCATAAAAGGAGGATCCCTAAAAAATCATTCCGACAAACTTCTGGAAAAGTTTCAAACAGGGAACGGGAGGGGGAAACGAATAGGGCAGACGGAACATAAACATTTTAGTGATAAAAGCGGAATCGCAAAGTATAACAAGCAATAACATTAAAATATTACTATTTTTGCAAAAAAAAAATGAAAATTTCCCATACGTTTTTTGGAAAATTAAAATTTTCTGACCGATATTGATCAGGATATTGTAGAAACAACGCAGCTAATGCTTTTTACTGTTTTTTTAATGCGTTTTCTCGCTGCATCAGGATGCAAAAACTTGCTAGTTGTGGATATGTGTGCGTGTGTTTATGTATATGCGTACGTACGTGTACATGTCCGTGTGCGAGCATTTGTATGTGTGTATTTGGGTGCACAAGTGCTAATTTGTGCATGTGTGTATATGTCTCAGTGTTAATCCATGTATGCGTGTAATTTGTGTTTGCTTACGTGCACGTGCGCGTGTGCGTGGAAGTACGTGTCTGTATGTGTGTGTGTATGTGTGTGTGTATTAGAGCATGCGTTTGAAAATATATGCAGTTGTGTGTGTGTGTTCGCGCGTGTCTGTTAAATATATTGTATATGTGAGTGTGCGCGGGTATTTGTACGTGTGTATGTGTGCATGTGTACGTACGTGCGTATGTGTGTCAGTGTAAACTTTCGTATGCTTGTCTGCCATTCCGTATGTCCAGCCACGTATGTTAACTCAGAAACTAAAAAAAACTAAAAAGCTCACAATCTCCAGTAGTGTAAAAGAGCTTGAAAATAAAATTAACTCTCAGGCCGCTGAGTGTTTCAACCGTTGACCTAAAGTCTAAATTAAGTTAAATTCAATATCTCAAAAACTAACAAGATTACAAGCCTGAAATTTTGAGGATTGACTAAAAAGCAAGAAATCTTACAAGAGCTTTCAAGCCATTTTGTTTTTCACTCTTGCTCTTCTGATTCGATTTTAGACAAATTTTACAAATTAGAGAACAAAAAAGTTGGAAGCTTGAATTTTTTTTTTTGAAGACAAGCTCTTCCATTGTGTACAAAATCAGAGACCTGAAATCTATTCATATCTCCTTATTTTATGACTTGCGAGCTTAGGCTTAACACTTCGATAGTCTTACAAATGAAAGACGGGCAAAACTATGATTTCGAAATTTTGGAAATTTCAACTGCCACACATTTCCTTTAGCACCTTCACTGTTTAGTAAGGCATTCTTGCATTTGCACTGATACTGATGCATATGTCAAAGTGCTTGAAGAGGTTGCGCAAATACATCGAACTGGCAGCGGGTACCAACTGAAGGTATGCAGCTCCGGATCGAAGTGCCTGGAATAGCTGCATCCGGCGACTGGGAGCACCCGGTGGCATACCACTAACACAGTATACCTACACTTGGAGCCAGGAAGATTTTATTACTTCTGGCACACTAAAATACTACGCACATAAATTTGAAAGCATAATTAATGCAAATTAAATGATAGCACAGGCTGCCGCGATAGGTTAGCAGGAGCAAGAATGCATGTTTACTACTAGCAGCTTTTTACAGCATCTCTTAACAGCAGCTCAAAGATCCATAATTTGATTGAGTTTTCGAAACATTTAGACTGACGTAAACAAAGTCAGAAAGCGTAGTGAACCGAAAAAAGCACAGAAAATCTCTTCCTCGCCATAGAAACAAGTAGAAGCTTAACCAGATAAAAGGCAGCATGTCTAATATTATCACGAGTAGCGAATTTAACATAATCCTTTAGAATTTCATGAATGCCATGCGTCGCTGGATGGAATTTGTGAAGACAACAATTATGCTAGAGATCATCTAAGACGTGGCACATTTTCATTAGCACGATCGGCTGATGCTACTAAACCGAGATATCGGAATGAAAGAATTTCTCTTAGCTACTTATGACATTTTGACG